ATGTGCCACTTGTGGCGTGTCGCGAACCTACCGTTCCCGCACGGCAACGGCACCGAAAACCAGGCCGGAATCGCTTTGATCGCGCAACATTGACCACTTTCCAGTCCCGAGGTTTTGTGACGCGATCAACGTCCACCCTATCCCCTTATTCAACGCGATAATTTTCGCGAAATTCGTGCAGAACCTCCCATTATCACTGTTAATCGATTGTCGCCCCGCGAAATGAGCCTGTCCGCAACGTTTCACCGACGCTTTGACCGTTCCCGCCTATTAGTATTCTTTCCACGGTTCGCTGGGATTATCGTTCTCGATCTATAGCGTATCTATGAATGATTGACGCGATTATTACTTTCGATATGCTAAGAAATTCCGAAGCATGCTCGCGTGGCATTGATTCTTGCGAGGTTATCTGCTCTTCTTATCGATATCCCACCGGTAAACCGTGTGAAGGGGTGGTTGTCCTTAGAGAACTACTTTCTATAGATGAGGATCAACCGAATATGCTTAGTAATTAACCTCTCGCCTTCTGATTGATTTCCCGACCATGATCGATACAACTGCTTCGTCATTAATACTTTATTGGAAAAAGCAGAAAAAGCAGTATAATCATTGATAACCGATGAATAATATTTCGTTTGAACCCAAAAGGGTTGAGTGATATTTATTAAACTCTGCTTAACATCTTTACCACAAGTTTGACGCGTTGCTGTAGAACAAAGCGTTAAGCGATCTTGACATTGTCAAACTCCTGACGCAGCTGAATTTAACATTCCGAAGTCGGTGCCGGAGACATTTAGGAAAGTTTTAAAAATAGCATTTTAAGAATAGCAATAAACGGACGGAGCTCACATAAAAAGGCCATAACCATTTCGCTTCGTAAAATAAGCCAGAGAATGAATAGGTCGATAATGAGCAACGTGGAAATCTGGGAAATTATACGGGTTAATGATATACCGGTATTTTAGTTTAGGTATATTCTCTTCCGGCCCGTTTTAAGAGCAGGTACCCCGCATGAGTGCCGGATGGCAATCGATGCGCAAACAAAAGGTTTTCTTACCTACGGACACGTCGGGACGCAGGCCAGTGCAATTAGCAATACACTCCACATGGGCTCGGTAAGCAGGTGTCCATTTCCGACTACATACTCGGATAATCATTTCGACCGTCCCTAATGTTCGATGGCAAACAAGCCTGATCCTCTTGTAAAGTTTTTTTAATATTCGCAACCGATTGCTTGTGGATTTCAGATTTATCGCGTATTCTTGCTAATCGGCGTTCCCTCGATCGAGATTACTTCCTAGAGACGACTCATTACGACGATCAGGCGAGAGATCAAGCAAAGGATTGAGTCAACCCAGACCTTGCACCACACGCTTATCGACCAGATAATCTTATCGAAGCGGCCTTGTCCGTTTATCGAACGAACGGCCACTCGACCGTGCATAATTGCAACCAGCTACTGAAGTGGAATTCCGTGTATCAATACTTCGAATACCAGAAACACGCTCGATGATCGAGAGTACAGGGTCTAAGTTCACGATTAACGAAGGTACACCTGCCTCTCGAATTACGCGGCAGCGTTGCAAACGATAGATTGCGACACTATTTACACGATCGTTTTTACACGCGATCGCAATTCGCGCGATGCGAAATTAGTAACACGAATAAAATATTCTATTGTTTTCTAAAATGTCACTATTACTTTTTCGTCAATCTACTTGGAATGAATATATATTTCTAAAACTTATATCACCTCGTTCCAATATTTCATTTTCCCTCGTACAGACAAACTCTATCTAAGCTATTCTCATTTACGTAAATCCAGATGTAGATAATATCGTAGATCCATGTCGCGAAGCTTCCCGAGTAAATAATAGCATCCATGACTTAGTTTCCTCTTCGTACGTACACCAGATCCGTTATCGTTCAAGGATGACCCATCGTTTTGTTACGCACAGTACAACAAGCAATGTACCCGCAAAAAAAACTGAAGAATTCATCAGTGAGTCAATGAAACGTCACGTGTTCTAAGAAGCACCACGAGCCTCGCGGGACAATTCCGTCGCGAGCAGGGTCGCTATCAAGAAGGGTGGCTGGTCCAAGGAGAAAGAAAAGGAAAAGGGAAAAGAGGGACTGGCATTCGGAAGCGAACGTCGACGAGGCGGTTCGAATGGGATTCCAATCCGGCCGCCGTTACTTTCATTGTCGCTGACGCACGAGGCACGGGGTTGCGCTACGATTATCTATGACGCATTCTTCCATTATGCGTTCCGCTCTTTTCCTCTCCCTTTCTCTGGCCGCGGTGACTCTCTCCCTCGCTCTTCCTCTTTCACATACACACACACACATTCTGTCTTTCTCTCTCTTTCTCTCTCTCTCTCTCTCTCTTGCTCTCTCTCGGCGTGAGCCGCGGCAACAGGTCCTACGCAGGAACCCGCTTAAACGGAGTCGCATCGGCCGATAGAGGTTCTTTCAGGAACGGCCTGGTGAGCCTCTTTGTGGATTTCACGAACGAGAGACGAGGAGAAGAGGGCCGAACGAACGGGAGAATGAATGGCGGAGGAAAAAAGGAGAGAGAACGAGGAAGAGGGAGGAGACGGGGGCTAGGAGAAAATGGGTCAAGTCGACCGGATATAATGGGAGATTTGAATACGACGAAGCGCGACACGAGCTAATGCTCCCGCAACCCCGGTAAATTAACTCGGGAGTTTGCTCTCGGCCGAGAAAAGCCTCTCTTCCGCGAGAAGAATCATCGGGAGGATGGCCAATCTCTCGTTCACCGATGACTGTGAATGGAAGAGTGTCAGGTAGTACTTCTGCCGCGAAATTCGGGCGTTCGCGGAGCTAATCGTCTAAATCTAGACGTTCTATGTGCTCCGCCTGCTTCCCCGTGCGCTATCAACGTAGCGAATTGCTGCTTTTATTAACATTGCACATTTAAACTTGACCTAGAGCGTTTCAAGCATTGTATATACACAAAGGATGTATAATAGGGTGGTGTACCGCGTTCGTGGCAACACTTCCCCCCCAAACGGTTGCGTTAGAATAAACGATGATTCAACGCGGCGGCGCACGTGTATCCGGATCAATTGCCAAAGCTCACCCGCGGCGTAAGGGAAAAAAACGCAATCTAGAAAGAAAGAGCGATACCGGGGAGAAATGCGATAAGATATAAATGCCTGCGCAGTTAGTATGACTCGGCCGCGCGTTCCGCGCCGAAGGAATCTCCGGTGTTTGCTCCACAAACGGTCCCGGTGTATCCGATCGCAAACATTCGAGATTCACCCCTTCAGCCTGCCATAAACAGCCCCAATTCCCCGGTAAATCGATGCGCGCAGGATCGATCGCGGTCCAATCCGGTCCGCGATCCTCGGAAGACAATCGTCGAGCCATCGTCCCCCGAATCGTCTCGCGAGAGGCAACAGCTCGCCCCCGAAACCACCCCCGGTTCGCCACGTTGGTCCGCGCGCGAGAGATTCGAAGGTCACTGGACCCGCGCGAAAGGAGGATGCCTCGCGACACGATTCCCGCAGGATGAACGGAGAGGCCCGATCTCGCGGAGGAGGGTCAGGGGGTTGGAAAAAGGAAGGAGGCGAGGAGAACGCGTGGCAGCGCGGGGAGAAGGACGCGAGGAGGGAGGATTCGCGGAGGAGAGCCATGGTCCAGGTTCCGCGGAGCTGAAGGGGGTTGCTCGAGGATGACT